ATTATTTTATTATAAAGCAAAATATTAAATCATGATGTAAAAAATACTACATATTTTTAAAATAGTTATTTTCTGTGCAAGAAAAATACCTTCATTCATTTTTTTTTACTAGGAGCAAGAATTTCACTATTTATTCCTATTTAAGAAATTGCATTGTAGTATACATGATTTGGATATGATTGACAAATAATAATTATTGATTTTATTTGCATAAATTTTTTTATTAAAAGAAAGAAAATTTGCCAGGTCACAGTTCCCTACCAAATGTTGTAATTCTTGTGTGGATTTGACATTTTGCGTAATCAGTCAAATGATATGGGACGTTTCACAGCAAAAACCACCTCTGGGTCATCTGACCAAAATTGAGCTTTTTACATAATATTGATCTATAATACAGCTAACCCCCATAAATGCACCCCCTCTCTAAATGCATGCTTTCACTCATTTCCAAGCTCGGGACTTAAGAGATAAGTGCACCCCTGTATACCTGCACTGCATGGTCTTTTTTCATTCCCAATTATATAAAACCACTTCCCTAAATGCACGCCCGTGACTTTCACGTGATTTTATGCATTGTTAATCGTGTAACCTTAGAAAGTTTTACAAATTTGGCTTTGCTTAATTCCCAAAATCTCAATTTTTAATTGTGTCTTGACTCAATTACTTATATGCTTTTCATATGACTTAATTAATTGCATCAAAAAGTCACCCAATTGAGTCAAGTGTAAGCATGTTGGCTCTCTTAATAATGGTGAAATAGTTTTTCATAAATGCTGAAATTAATTTTATTAGTTGCCAAAATTATATCTGAAATTATTTGGACTCTTTAATTAAATACTAAAAGGCTGGGTAGATTTTGTATGTCTATTGATACAAAGAATATTGTAAATCCAAAATTGCTTGCCAAAATTGATTTTTTCAAAAACCATTTTGGCTAACATTCTTATCAACCTATTTCTACAAGTTTGGAAATTGTCCATACAATGAACAAGCAAAATCAGTTAATTCTTTTGAAAAAATATATTAACTTAATACAATGGAACAAATTACAATAGATAGATTCATGTCTTGAATTTTTTTTGCAATTTAAAAATTTTTAAATTAGTGTCACATGAGTCACCAATATGTGCAGCCAATAAAATGCTTTGATTCCCTAAATGCACGCTCCCACTCATTCCCAAGGGGGGTTGACTGTATTTTTATTTTATTTACCTGACACTAAAAAACAATTTAAGGGCCTATTTTCTTGAACTCAGCTTGAACTTGCAAATTCAAGTTTTAACTTGAGCCTGCCCAAATTAGGGTTTCTATCTAAATAAGGTTTTATTCAAATTATTTGTTTATTCAATATGAATTAGTGTTGGTCGCCAAAACTATTTTGAAGAGGATAATGCCAAAACTAAAATTAAAAGTTATATGTCAAAACTAAATCAAAAGTCAAAAGTCAAAAACAAAACGAGTTTCGACTTGTGGAGAAACCTTTTGGTTTTCGTACAGTTGCGAAACTCTCTAGTACGAGTTTATCAGTTACTTTAATAATAAAAGGTCCGTTTTTATTTGCGAATTTAATAATATTCCAAAACTATAAATCTTATTCTCACATTCCATTTTAATTCCACATTTACAAATGTCCCTCCCTATATTAATATAAATGACATCATGGAAAAAATCCGGATTGCTTACTCAATTGGTTGCTGCTTTTATGAAATTTGCGGAGTGATAATTCCGGAGTGTCATTTTTTACATGGCAAGAACGTGCATTTAGAGTGGGTTGGTTGACTGTATTTATTTTAGACAAAGATTGAGCACCATCGCCAAATAAAACAAGTTATCATTGATTTTCTCAGCAAAAAGCTCGTTTATACGGCCTTTTCACCTTAGAATCTCGTGTCTACGCGAAATAATAAAATCATATTGGCGGCAATAATCAAATTATTGGAAATAAAAAATTTATTGGAATAAAATATAAAGAAAAAAATATATCTAACAGTTGTTGATTAAGCCAAATAAACAGCTAATAAATGAAAATTTCTATCTATATAATAATAAATAAATAAATAAATAAATAAATAATAATGAATAAATAAATAAATAACACGGAATCTCGAGTAGAACGTCATCATCCGCTCACATTTACGATTTATTGTTAATTGTCCGGTTTAACAGAATAAACTTTTCTGGTGCTAGACGGAACAACACCAATATTTTCCCATTCAAGTGTCTCATAATGTTCTTTTTTCAATCCTTCAATGATTTCACCTTTAGCTGTTACGCGTAAAGCTTTAAATCCTTTCTCTTCTTCTTCGCCTGATAATAATCGTTTAATAAACTCGGTTGTTCGATTAACAGCTATCTGTGGTGATGGATGGATGTCTCCAAATATCTATTTTGAAAATAATAATAATAATATTATTATTATTTATTAATATTTTGCGAAATCATTATTAATTGTTCAAATTTAAAACTTTATGAAAATTACCTGGAATACATGAGGCATTTCTTCATAAACTTCAAGAACAACTTTTGTAGGTGTTTTATAAGGCGACTTTTTAAACTTTTCAGCATTGTAATAGGGCAAATTGTATTTTTCTGGGTTGGCAGCTTTATGAGCCAAATAAATACTCTCATCTCTGAATTTTTCTATATCACCTGTTTGCTATACAACAAAAAAATTATTTTTCTTTATCATAAAAGTATTCAAATTTTTTTGTAGAGAAAAATAGTTACCACTAATATTGGTGGTAAACCACCTAAGCTTACAGCAAATAATGGAGAAACGTATGGAATCGCCAATCCTTCATTAGACGCATAAAGTTGTAAACGACCATCACGATCAAATGATTTGTGCCAAAATTTTGGTTTATTATCAATATTTAATTGGATTTTTTCTGATAATTCTTTCGCTTTTTGCTCAAATTCTTCCCATGCAGGGGATATTGCATAATGAAAAGGTTCATCTGATATATAATCTAATTCATCAAGTCTTGGGTCTTTTATTGATTGCGTTGTCTTAGCTAAATCAACCCACGCCGACCACACAACAGCCCCAGCTGGTAAAGGTAATGATTTTGTTGAATTACGTATAGCCAGTAATGTTGCCATTGTTAGGCCACCACCAGCACTCTCGCCCATGATTACAATATTTTTAGGATCAACTGGTAGAAAATCAGCATCTTTTGGTGGATCAATAAGGTAATTGTAGGCGGTTATCGAGTCATGTAGAGCGGCAGGAAATTGATTTTGTGGTGAAAGTCTATAATTTATTACTTGGAGAAAGTAAAATCATGTGTTTGTTAGTCGATCAACTCTTTTTTGTCGAGTTATTATAATTTTAATTACCAAATAGTCTTGCATTTGTATGTTTTGCAATTAGAGAAGTTTGTTTACGATGAGAACCAGCGGAAAAGAACAAATATCCACCACCATGTAAATACAAAACAACCTTATCATATTTTTTCTTTTTATTATTGTTTTCTTCTTCTTCCTTAACATAAACCCATTCACATTCTAATCCATTCCCAATATTAACACTTCTCCAATCATCATCAAGCACATGATTATAATCTTTCAAAATATCATCAATGTAAACTTCTGATTCTTTACGAAGTGAATTTGGCAATAACAGCTCATCTACAAGTACACCATTAACGGGAGTCGTGTTGGCCATACACATTTGTTGGATACCCTCGATAGTTTGATTGTTAGTTGATCCAAATGAGCCTTTTATAATTTTGAATATCAAGTAAAGCTTCAAGTTCCATGATGGTTGTGGTGGTCCGTAACGATAATAATTGATGGTGGCTGACAATGCTAGGGGTATTTTTTGGAATATGTTCGGGAAATCCATTTTTTTTTTTTTACGAAATTTTTTTTTATTTAAAGAAATTTTTTGTTCTTCCCCTCGACAAAACCATCCGTTTATATATTAAAGCGATCTCATTCTGCAAATAGTTAAAAATTGTGAAACCTATGAATTCAAAAACTTGAATTTTTTAATTCCATTGCTTCGAATTTTATTTCTTAATGTATAAAATAGGATTGCAGTGCGCCAATTTTTTCGTTGTACAAATTTGTTGAGGTAGTTTCAATACAGGTATTTTTATGCTATCATTATTATAATGAAAATTATTTTTATACATCAAAAAAGAGACCGCAAACGTTTGTACTACATGATAATAATATCATTTTCTTAATTATTAATTTCATTAACGCTTTCAGTTCTGATAACATTTTTGTATATTTATTATTGATTACGGTTTCAATTGCTTTCACGAACTATTTTTCTGATCTTATTTTTCTGATATTGGTTATAATTAACGATGGGAATTTTTTAACCCTACACTTAATAACTGTTGCATTCTGAGTGAGAGAGTTATTGATCCAAAAGATCCATTTTGCCAATCAATAGAATTTAGTGTGCGGAATGTGCTGTGCTAACCAAATTCAGCAGAATTGGAAAATAATTGTCAAATTTGGTTAGCATGCACACTCCGCAATCTGAATTTTATGCACTGTCATCACTTAAATTATTAACTTGTTTATCAAATTAATATTTGATTAAACATAGATTCATAAGAGATCTGCACGTTTGTGTTTTTAACACACCAATAGAGTTATTAAGTACTTAATTTTTCAAAATAATTTTTACGCCCATCACTAAGTTATAATATTTGATGGTTAACTATATGATTCATAAACCACCATACTTTAGATGGAATAATTTGATTACAATTTACAAACATGCTAATGTTGTTTTTCACGATTTCAGGTTCGTGTTTAATAAAAATTACTTTAATCATTTTTTCTCTTTACTACTTTCATGAGTGGTTTGACTTTTTTTACTTGTGTCAAGGGTTTTTGCTTAATTAAATCGTCAAAATGGTCCTTGGTGAGAAGCTACCTTTAGTCATGTCAATGAAAAATTTTGTCATACATCATTAATACCAACATTCCTTCAAATGCAGATATTTCTGATATGATAACCTATAATCAATTTTCAAAATGACAGTTTCAAAAAAAAGCACATTATAACATAAAGTCCTTAATTCACAAGTAGTTTTCTTTAATTCATGAAATAATAATTTCAAAAAGTTTTTTTATTATTATCATTCATACATAAGATATCTCGGATCAGATCGGATCTGTTTGTAACCCTAGGTACAACCTCGCAGGTTTGGGAAATTCAAGTGACTTTACTATGAGGAGAGACCTATTAAAAAGGATTGAAAATTCATTTTATGTAATTGAAAGATGATCATATGCAAAAGCTTTAATTATACAGTCAGAGATATTACTAGAAATAGAAACCTATTAAATTGATGGGCCTCTCTCATGAAGTGCAAACTTATTGTAATAGTTAGGCTCATTCGACTAGTTTGTTAAATAATTTACAATTGTTTTAGAATTGATGTTGAGTTTTGAAAATTTTCCATAGACAGAACACATGTGATTTAACATTAAATTCAATTATCCTAATTGCTTTCCTTTACTAACTTGTATACTTCAAGTTCCTCTATCAAATGAAATTTTTTGTTATTATTTCTAATATTTAAATCATTTTGATAAGAATAATAATTACAAAATACATAAAAAAAATAAGGTTCATTATTAATACTGTTACATATGTCTAAATCATTAAAATCTACAAGCCTTTCATGAAATCGTATACCATCTTCAGTAAAATCAATACTCTTCTTATTATGACATATTGCACCTTCAGGAGCTTTGACTTTACTTATTATTGAATTATTTATTTTGTTTTGATCAATCTTGAAAATAAAACTTTTGTCTGTCTCAATCCAATAATTTTCATTTGATGATTTTTCTTTTAAATTCCAACAAACTGGATTGTATCCACCAACCAATTCTCCTGTTTCTTTGATTTTAATTATAACAATTGTTTGTTCAATATTATAACATTTCTCCTCAAAAACAGACCTTGAAAAGCCATCTTGAGATCCACTGAGAATCAAATTAAAATTATATGGCAAGTTGTTTACATTGTTCAAGCCATGTGTTTGATCAATCCAGTTAGAAATTAAGGATTTCATTTCTAAACTTAATAATTTCATTCTTGAACCTTTTCGAAGTAGTAAAATTGGCTGCCATTCATAATTATGATAATATTCAAGAATTTCTTTATAAACTTCTTTATTAAAAATTTTTTCAAATGGTGCAATTTTTTTATGAAAATCGTTAAAAGTGATTTGATTGAACCTTACCAATGGAATAATATCTTTTAAAGTATTTTTTAATTCTTTGAAATCATCTTTATTCCACTTCGAAATGGGGGTTTCATTTTGTCCTATTCCCCATTGAATAATGCAATCCCAAATTTCAATTTCATTCATTTCCAATTCATCACTTTTCAATATAGTTATAATCATTGATTCTTCTATTGCTGCAACATCATTAGACTTTAAAAATGATTTTGGATTTTCATCAAATAATTTACCACAATAATGTTGAAGTAGGTTGAATGATTGATACTTGGATGAAATTTTATAAATGTGAATTAGGTTTTCCTGAACCCATTTATTTTTTTCAATAATTAAATGATTTTGTAAATTCTCGATTAATTCATTAAAGTTTAATTCATCACAAGCCACAAGAAGGTCAAGGATTTCATCTGGATCCAGATTATCTATATTAACAATCCCACTATAAATATATCTTTTTAAAAATAAATAAATAATTGTTTAATATTTTACAATTTAAAAATATAATTGCTATATATTATCAATTAATCAATTAATCAATTAATCAATTAATTTAATTCTTACATTAAAATAACTTCAAATACTTTTGGAGAAATGTTTTTTTTTTCAAATAAAATAATACCATCTTTAGATTTTTTTGCCCAAGTATTTGATAAAGCTACCTTAAAATATAAAGATCTTGCTTTCAAAATGCTAGAATGTGCTTTAAAGGTCTTAACATCATCATCCCCTCCAACTTTAATTTCCACATCATAATAATCTGATTCACTCAAAAAATTTGTTAAATCATTTACAAGTTTACAAATATATGCTAATGGTAAAATTTCTTTGTTGGAATTGACAAGCTTGTAAATTAAAGTGTTGATAGTTTCCAAGGAAGAAAAGCCATTACAAGTCATTGCGATGAATGAGGATTTAAAAGTAAAAAAAAATTATTATTATTATTTATACACTTACTGGACAAAAGTATAGGGACACCTGCAGATCATCGCAAATAATTGAATAAAGTGACATGACAAAAA